CTGCTCTAAACCCACCTGTAGCTCCTGTAACCTATGAGATAGAGCCTGAGCTTTTTGCGGTAATCTGACCCTAGCTGACCTCCCCAGGCTTGTCCCCACTCCAAGCACACATCCTCCCTCAGCTTCCTGGAATTCAGTCAAGTCGTCTCATAATGTTTTCTGTTAAGCTGAGGCTTTAGGCTTGGAACCTCTTCCTGCACATCCTGAGCGCTTATTCATCTTTCAAGAACCGGTTCGAATTTTCTGTCAAGAAACCTCTGATTCACTTCATTCTATGGAAATCACTACTATGTGTTTCTTAAACACTTAAGAAATTAGCCAAGTGAAAGAAGAGCCGAGGAGATAAATACGTCAAGGCATTTTCCCTTTGAAATTCCAGGTTGCGTACAAGCTCCAAATATAAACCTCAGCTCAACTAATTGTTATTTAACAGTTTTTTTTTTTGTAATAACTTTTTAAAATTTATTTTAAAATTGGTAATATATTAATATGGTTCAAAAATATAATGTAAATATAAGCTAATCAAATGTAATGATATTCTGTGGAAAATCGTCCTTCCCCTCTATGCCCAGACCTACCCGATGCAGTCCTCTCTCCCACGGATAAGTAATATTACCAATGTCTTGTAAATTCTTCTAGGCACATGAAGGCAAACACACACACAGAGATTTCCCCAGTTCTTAAACAAACAGGGCTATGTTATATGCTCTACACTGCAATTTACCTTTTCATTCAACAAAATATTTTGCAGGTTGGTTGATAGCAGTCCATAAAGAGATTTTTTTTCCTCCATTTTTTTTCTTATTGTTTCTAAGATTTCTTTAAATAAATGTATCATACTTCCTTTAAGTCATCCTCTGTTGGTGGGTATTTCGGTGGTTTCCAGTCTTTTGTTCTTACAAATTGTACTGCAATAAATAACCTTTATTTAGTCATTTCCCAGAACTACATGTTTGTGAGTATATCTGTAGTATAAATTCCTAGAAGTGGAATTGCTGAGTCAAGAGCATGTACCTTTTTAATTTAGATATTTATTGCCACATTTCCCTTCACGAGAGTTGTGATAATTTATACTTCCCACAGCAATACTTAATGTGACCAGTTAATGTCCATTTTTGACTAAACTGTCCGAGCTACACAGAATGTGTCTGTAGGTCAGAGTTCTCCCAATGGGTGCCGGTTTGTAAACTTAGTTCCAGTTTCTGCCAAAACTTGTGGACAAATGGTTTCGACTTCAGCATCCTTACTTTTAGGAAACCATGGGAGTCCACTCTTTGGTGTTACTTCCTCCTTTTATCACCAGAGTGACTGGTCTTGACTACAGATGATGATTGGTTTAGGGCTGGACATGTGAGACAGGCTGGCCCAACCAGAGACCTTCTTAGGGTTCCTACTGGAACCACTACTAGATCAATCACTCTTGCTCTACAGTGATCACAAGCCATAGGGATGATGTGAACTTGGAGTCTCCAGGGGCCAGTTAGGCACTACATATAGAAAGCATCTCTGAAGAGAACTTCAAGGTCAGCAAAACTGAGTGGTAGAAAGAAAGGCTGAGGCCTGGTCATAGACTTAGAGTCCATGGATCTAATACTGCCTGAAACTAACCACTCTGGACTATCAGGTTATGTGACTTAATACATTTAATTTCTATCATTTGCACTGGAAAGAATCTTAAGTAAAAGAGTGCTTTACAGGCATAATTTCATTGAATTCTGATAACAGCCTTTTAAGATAGGATTTCATTTTTCCATTTTAGAGATAAAGGAATTGACATTTGATGAGTCTAAGAAATTTTCCAAAGATCACAAAACAAATAACAGAATTAGATACAAATTCAGGTTGTCTAGCTCCAACAGCTATGATATTAAAATTTCTCTGCTCTGCTTTTAACAGTGCCAACGTGTTTGGTCTAATGCACTCTTTTTGCTCCCTTCACATTCTGCTTTCTGCTCATGCCTGTGTATCCACGCCATGCATTTAGAATTGCATCATGGTATAGCTTCAAGAAGCCAGCCCACCTAGTGTTCATACATGTTTATGGGAGGCCAGCTGGCAAGAGGTGGCAGGAGAGAATGTCATACATCTCCCTTTCGAGGGAGGGGCAGTTGGAGATGCAACTGGAGAAGGTGGTAGGAAATGGGGCTGTTGATGAACCTGTCCTGTTAGTGGTCAATTCTCGGGCCAAGCCCTCCTGTTATCACAGAAGAGTCATCCTGAAACATGCAACATGCTGAAGGGCTTTCTGTCATCAGGCAATGTGCCAGTCACAAAAGAAATAGAGATAGACAGACTTGTGCCTGCCCTCCCTTGCCCCCATGTATTTTTAAATATAGTATATAAAAAAAAATTCTAGGTATAGTAAAGCCAACAGGAACAGAAGATGATTGCCACTGAAAAGATTGTTACTCACAGTTTCTAAGAGAAAGGGGCATGCCACATTATGGGGTGCGACATGAGAGGTTAGTCAGGAGGCAGAGGGACCAAAGGGAAAATGTAAGTAAAAGTCTTATTATGATTTCCTCAGGAAGGAATGGGCAAGATGGGGTTAGAAGGCTTAGGAATGGCTAATTTGAATAATCTCAGTGGGCTCTGGGGCACAGGGTCTGTCTATAGTTGTCTGGTACCTGGCCCTGCAGTGTAAGGGTGGGTGGATAGTGGCTCAGAGTGTGAGAGCCTGATAAAGGAGGTGGTGGGTTGTGGGCTCTGGATTGATAGGTTCCTGTTTGAAAAGTATGTTCTCAGATGAGTCCTTTACTATTGCTAGGAATTGGCTAACCCTAGAAAGGGCAGTACCAAGGCTCCAGATGTCATCAGAATATAGAAAATAAAAGCCACAGTTAATGTACAATGTGGATGGAGGTTTGGTCATCTAACTATTAGTGTCCACACTAGTGTATACTGTTCTGGTCCAACAATTCTACTCTAATAAAGAAATAAATGGGTAAATGAGCAGATACATATGGACAAGAATCTTTATTAGCATAATGCTTATAATAAAAAAAGAAAAAAACCTTAATATTCAACAATTAGCATATAGGTAAATAGTTGATTATTTTACATAATGCATCAGCACACAATAATTGAGAATGAATTTAGAGGAATATTTACTGATATAAACACATGATCAGAATATGTTATTGACTGAAAAAAAGGGGCATAATTAATACATATGTGTAACCCTACATTCGTTAAAAATATCTCACTAAATGTTTATATATATTTACAGTGTGTTTCTATTTTTTTGAAAAAAGATCAGAAGGAAATATACTACATTGTTAACAATAACTATCTCTAAGGGGTAGGATTGTTGGTGATCGAAATCCATTTTTTTCTTATTTGTATTTTCTTTATTACATAATGAATTTTTATTACTTTTGTAATAAGTAACATAAGTTTAGTAATAAACGTAAAATATAGTCATTCTGTCTGCCTGTGATGCTGTGGCAAGAGCACTCCTGAGTTTTGAGACATTCATTTGCACAAATTTCATCTATGAAAATGGTTCCACACGGGGAAGAAATAACAGCAGCATGAATACACACATTTTCTCCGTTTGTCTCTGAGACAATGGAGATTCTCAGAGTACCTGCTCATGTTCCATCAGTGCATTCTGTGTTCGCTCCTTCTGTCATGTTCTAGTAATGACTAGTAAACCATCATCCAAACCAAGGCTGGTCATTTGTTTGATGCTCGCAGAAGGAAAAGGACAGTGAATCCAGTGCAAACTTTGTGGTTCCTTAGATTTAAAGTAACAGTGAGTGGTGAGGCTTCCAGTGCTGGAAGAAATTGATACAAATTTATCCTGAAGTATTTCTATCAGGTTCAACCACATGAAATTGCCAATACTCGACCATCTTTGACCTACAAAATGACAATTTCTATAAGCTAGTGAAGGCCTCTCTGAACTCGATGATGAAATAAGTCAGAAAACATCTTTTGCAAAATGCTTTGTTTGAAAAAGCTTCCGAGGCTAAAAAACTACATGAAAAATCTGGTAATAGGAGATCTCT